CGTGAATCACACCTCTCTGCCTCGACGTGCCTCCCGCACTGCTGCCGACTTGGCCACCTCCGGCGTTGACGCCCACGTCGACGCCGCCTTCGTTGGTCACCGGTCGAGGAGAAGCTGGTCGAGAAGGGGGATGCTCCGTCGCCCACACGGAGCGGAGTCCAGCCTCAACGACCGCCCAAGGTATCGTCCTGTACTCCTGGGCCTCATGGTGTCTCCTCGCATCCTCCAGCCGTCCCTCCAGGGTGTCCATCACCTTGGCGTCACCTACGCGCACGTTAGGGACCTGTACGGCTGCCGGCCTACGAGCAACTTAGGTATGTGACCTCTACGTCGACCTGACTGAAAGGTAAGTCGTGTGCCGTCCACGCTCACCGCACCATGCGGAGATAACTACTACAACGGGAGCTAGACTACGGGCTAGGCACGGGTGCTCGTGTGATCTCTGCGTTCTTTGGTCCTTAGTCGTTTTCCTAGTGCACACACTACTTGCTAGTTCACGGGGCAAGTTGGCAAGAGTTTCACTAGAGAAAGTTGACAACAATGGTACAAAGAAGTTGGCATGGCAAGACTACATCAGAGCTAGCATTCAGGTCGGTCGACTGCCAGCACAGCATGGTCGACCGCGTTCCAGCACGACTTGGTCTACCGCGCTCCAGCAGTGCAAAGTCGACGGCGTGCCAACAATGCAGGTTGACGGCGTGCCAGCGTTTCTCCCGCAGTACAGCATCGCACCAGCTTCGCAGGTGCTCGCAGATGATTGGCGTGCTGAGCCTCGTCACCTGCACAGCGCACACACCAAGTCAACCTGGCACTGACGACTGCATCTGATCAGCCACGTCGACCTCGGGATACCACCAACGAGGTCGGACTCGACATCTTCGCCTGGGCGACCGTCGCACTCCTCCGCAGGACTTCGTCACCCAGGTAACCTGGTCGACTGAGCAACCATGTCGACCAGCTGCTCCTGTATGTGCCCGTCGACCTCCCAAGTCGACGACCACCCCAAGTCGACCTCACCAGGTCGACCACACCCCTGGTCGACCAGCTCCAGGTCGACGTCCCTCCTGGTCGACCAGCTCTACGTCGACCAGCACAGTCGTCAGCCGACCACCCAAGTCGGCTACCCGAAGTCGGCGTCACCAAGTCGACGCCCTCCGCAGGTCGACTTCCCAGGTCAACCCCCCTGAAGTCGGCGCCAACTTCCGGGCCGACCTCTTGAAGTCGGCGACCTCCCAAGTCGGCGACCTTGCAAGTCGGTGACCTTGCAAGTCGGTGACCTTGCAAGTCGGTGACCTTGCAAGTCGGTGACCTTGCAAGTCGGTGACCTCCCAAGTCGGTGACCTTGCAAGTCGGCGACCTCCCAAGTCGGCGACCTTGCAAGTCGGTGACCTTGCAAGTCGGCGCCGACTTCCAGGTCGACGTGCCACATCGCCGACCACCAGTTGAAGTCGGCCGCCGGCTTCCCAAGTCGGCGGCATTGCAGTGGCCCCGTGCAAGTCGACCAACCCCGTCGACCACTGCTGCAAGTCGGCTGTACCTCCCGTACACCCAACCACGAGGTCGGCTCCGCCCAAGCGAGGACGGGGCCAACAACAACTCCCGTTGACAAATTTGGCGCGCTACTATGAATCACGACATTTTCGACCAATCAGACTTGCCACGAGTGGCGAATACATATACAGCGTTAATTGTGAGTGTTTATGAAATCATCCAATGTACTCACGGTTGCCCGAAATTCGGAGGGGAAGGGCGGGAAAAGCAAGCGAACAGGTGCGCGCAAACGCGGTCCATCCAATTTAGAGAAGATCTGACGTGGCAAGGTCGCGATAATTTAGGTCGATGCAATTGAGAGAAACGATATTTCTGCAGATGCGCGTCATTTCGCCGTACTGTACTGTGAAGACGCGCTGTAAACGCATGATTGTTGGGTACACACGATGCCCATTTCACTCACACCATCTTTTTCGACACCGGGGGAGTGAAGCGAGCATCTCATTCGCGAGCGTTTCGTCAGGTTCGCCACGGGCAGAAAATGGACTGTAAACAAAACCAATGTTACGTAGATATTTTTTCGGCTACAGTGCTGGGTGGCTCCGTTTGTTGTACATCGGAACTCAGGGGTGCAATTGGGAGGTCGGAGTTTCCCAACCACTCGTTGTCATATTTCCGAATCTTCTCGAGCCGCGAGGGCTTGTATATGGCGGGCATTTACCCGTCATCAAACATGAAAGGGACGGCATCGCGTTTGGGAAGATCAGATGTCTGCGATTCGACTGAGCATCATGTGTAGGTGTTGAATGCGCAGCGACCTGTACAAGGAGTGAACTAGGGGGCGAAATGACGCGCACCGGCGGAAATCATGTTTCTCTCAATTGCATCGACCTAAATTACTCCGACCTCGCCACGTGGGCGTTTCCCTCAATTGGATGGACCGCGTTTGTGCTCGCCCCCCCACCCGATTTTCCCGCCCTTGCCCTCTGAATTTCGGGCAACAGCTGGGAAATCGCACGAAATCACAAACAGTCACGAACACAAGCTAATCTAATCATGCCACCGCGTCCTCTTTCTTGTGGCATGCCACATCACCTTTTCCAAGAGACGATCGATAATTTCGTAGGCTGCAACGCGATGTCACGAGGCTCCTATGCACGTTGCTTGTATCGTAACTTTTGGGATTAGCCCAACTCATTTCCCGCCAACGCGGATTCATGATTCTACAGTGTGTGGTTCAACGGTTCATGAACTGCAGCGATAACAACATGTCAAGGTGTGGAAGCCCCATCTCCCACGTATTTAGGATCTGCTTGTTCATTCCACTAGGAATACGTTTTAAGGTATAGCTAAGAACCGGGTACGCATTACTAGTCTTCTCTAGTTTAGGACAGGCATCTTCATTTCGTCGCCGATGCGCGTCCTTTCAGCTAACGGCTTTTTATGGCGTCCAATCCATTAGCGCAGGCATTGCGCCAGCTTAATTCGCCACCCGAGTTTAACCCAAGATACGACAGACCTAACGATAACGCGCCATTGGAGTTAGGAGGCCTGTACTCTAGCCGTGAGAAGTGCAAAGAGGCCATCTATGTGTTTGCTCTCCAGCATCGGTTTGGTGTTAAGGTTCTTTTGGTGAAGCATAACTACGCAGTGATTGGTTGCAAGGCCACATCGGACGGCTACGTACCGGCGTGCCTATGGAGTTGCCAGTACGGTCAAATGGGCCACGGTGGCCTTTGGCGCATTACTAACCTGGTTCCGCCGGCGGCGCACACATGTCCACTAGATTGGAGGCACGATTACGCTGAGGGGATAGCCAATACAATTCCAGTGCTGGCGCGGCGATACGGCAACATGGTCCGTGCCAATCCTTTCATCTCACCCGTGGAGCTCAAGAAAATGATCGAGGGCCAAGGGAACGTCGTGATCCACTACTGGCAGGCTTGGCGGCTTCGCGAATAGATCATGGTAGAGCGCTATGGCGATTGGAATGGGTCCTTTTGTCAAATCCCTTGGCTTGTCGATCGTTTCACAGTCATCGACCCGGATGTTCAGGTGCGGCTGGACACTTTAGGCGGCTGTTTCCACCGATTCTATGTGCGTCCATCTGCAGCATGACATGCGTTAAATTTCTGCCGCCCTGTCATCGCCCTTGACGGCACACATGTCATAAGCGCGCAAAAGGATGTGCTGTTGATGGGAATTGGCCCCGCCCTTGCTTGGGCGAAGCAGACTTCGCAGTTGGGGGGCGCGCAGAAGTCGTCGTAGACTGCGCGCAGAGTTCGACCTCGACCTGTCCGTATAGTTCGCTGTCGACGAGCTCGCATAAGACGTCGTCGACGAGCTCGCAGAGGACGCGGTCGACGAGCTCGCAGAGGACGCGGTCGACGAGCTCGCAGAGGACGCGGTCGACGAGCTCGCAGAGGACGCGGTCGACGCGCTCGTAGAGGATGCTGGTCGACGAGTCCGTCGAGGAGTTCGGTATAGGAGCTCCTCGACGAGGTTGGTAGAGGAGCTCCTCGACGAGGCCGGTATAGGAGCTCCTCGACGAGGCCGGTAGAGGGCTCGTCTCGGCGAAGGCTGTTCGACGGAGCAGCGTCGAACCACCCGACCAAAGCTGCTCGCCTGCGAAGGTCGCAGATGTGCGAGAACCTAGCCTCAGGAGGTTTTCGCGAAGTCGACCTGCGGAATGGCATCACGTGCTCGACGGTGCACCGCTGGCGAAACCGTCGACACGTGTTCTACCTGGCACCTGCGCAATGTGCCTGGTGGCGCGACCGTCTACCTGTACCTACTTGGTAGGTGCGCACATGCACAGAGGTTCACTTGCCTATGTAGCGCTGACAAACCGCTGCGGTGCAACGCTGGCAGACTATTCTGCTGCAGCGTTGGCAAGCCGCTCTTCTGCTGCGCTGGCATAGTTCGCCCTCCAGAGGGCTTGTTAGGTGTTGCAATGCCATTCTAGCTATATCGACTTGCATGCCTCATTGTAACTCAATGTTCTCTCAATTTCTTAGTGAAACTCTTGCCAAATATCTTTGTGAACACAGCACGTAGTGAGAACGCCTAGTGCAATGCTACGATCACCCGCACAACCTCGTGCCTTCCTCCGTAGTCTACTCCCGTTGTATAGTGACTCTTCGCACGTGCTTCTCATCGCCGTCACCATTGACGGCAACCAGGAAATATTGTTACTGGCTTGGGCGTTGGTGGAGTCGGAGAACAAGTAGGCTTGGACCTGGTTTCTCAAGCTGTTCCTCGAGGGGTTTCCGGAGTGGGCGCAGAGGGACGACGAGTCCATCATCAGCGAGCGGGATAAAGGGTTGGTGCCGGCTGCAAGAGAGGTGATGCCAAGCCACATCCCACATTACTTCTGCACTTGGCATTTCGAGCAAAAACTGAAGCGTTTCAGTAAGGCGGCAATGGCGTTCTTTTGGCGCCTGGTGAAATGTCGCTGCGAAACGAAGTGGGTTGCGCTTGTTGGAGCCTCTCGACGAGACTTTCTGGAGATGGTGGCTTATCTGTTTGGGCCTGTCCGTCAGCATCCGCAGCCAGAACCACAACCTGCGCCAAATGTGCCCCCTCCAGGAACTCGTGCAACTTATGAGGGTGCCAGGGCATTCGTGTTTGCGGGTGCTCGCGAAGGGAGGAGGGCACAGAGAGGGCAGGGTCAGGATGGCAACGCTGGTGACGACGGCGTGGACAGGGCATCGCAACCACAGGGAAGTGGGTTCCCGGAGGGCAACCCTTCTGCGTACAACCGGCGAGGCGGAGGTCTCTCTGGCAGGGGTGGTATGAACCAAGGTGGACGGGGGGGCAGAGCGCATCGGGGAATTGGCGTCCCATCGTGGGTGAACGATGAAGGAGAGGGCGCGGGGGCTGGATTTGGCGTCGGCGCTGGAGGGCGGGGCCGGGGCAGTGGGAGAGGAGGCCGTGGACGCAGAGGGAGAGGCTTGCGGGGTGCGGCCTTGGCAGGGGAGGGAGAGGAGTTCCCCTCGGTGGGGATGCTGGTGAGCACGGGGATGCCGGAGCTGAATGGTCCGGCCTTGGAGGCGGAGAGAGAGGAGTGCCTCTTGATGGGGATGCTGGAGAGCAAGGGGGTGCCGGAGTTGAAAGGTCCGGCCTTGGAGGCGGAGGGAGAGGAGTGCCCCTCGGTGGGGATGCTGGAGAGCAAGGGGGTGCCGGAGCTGAAAGGTGCGGCCTTGGAGGCAGAGGGAGAGGAGTGCCCCTCGGTGGGGATGCTGGAGCGCAGGGGGGTGCCGGAGCTGAAAGGTCCGGCCTTGGAGGCGGAGGGAGAGGAGTGCCCCTCGGTGGTGCACCTTCCGGGAACGGAGGTGTGGGAGCAGGGTTTTCCGGCATTGGAGGCGGAGGGAGAGGAGTGCCCCTCGGTGGTGCACCTTCCGGGAACGGAGGTGTGGGAGGAGGGTGGTCCGGCATTGGAGGCGGAGGGAGAGGAGTGCCCCTCGGTGGTGCACCTTCCAGGAACGGAGGTGTGGGAACAGGGATTTTCGGCATTGGAGGCGGAGGGAGAGGAGTGCCCCTCGGTGGTGCACCTTCCGGGAACGGAGGTGTGGGAGCAGGGTTTTCCCGCATTGGGGGCGGAGGGAGAGGAGTGCCCCTCCGTGGTGCACCTTCCAGGAACGGAGGTGTGGGAGCAGGGTGGTCCGGCATTGGAGGCGGAGGGACAAGAGTGCCCCTCGGAGGTGCACCAGGCGGAAACGGAGGTGTGGGAGGAGGGTGGTCCGGCATTGGAGGCGGAGGGAGAGGAGTGCCCCTCGGTGGTGCACCTTCCGGGAACGGAGGTGTGGGAGCAGGGTTTTCCGGCATTGGAGGCGGAGGGAGAGGAGTGCCCCTCGGTGGTGCACCTTCCGGGAACGGAGGTGTGGGAGCAGGGTTTTCCCGCATTGGGGGCGGAGGGAGAGGAGTGCCCCTCGGTGGTGCACCTTCCAGGAACGGAGGTGTGGGAGCAGGGTGGTCCGGCATTGGAGGCGGAGGGACAGGAGTGCCCCTCGGTGGTGCACCAGGCGGAAACGGAGGTGTGGGAGGAGGGTAGTCCGGCATTGGAGGCGGAGGGAGAGGAGTGCCCCTCGGTGGTGCACCAGGAACGCAGGGGAGTGTGGGAGGAGGGTGGTCTGGTGTTGGAGGCGGAGGGAGAGGAGTGCCTCTTGGCGGAGCTCCTGGAGGGCACGGAGGTGTTGGAACTGGGTGGTCGGGCGCTGGGGGCGGTGGGAGAGGAGTTCCCTTGGGTGGGGGTGACCATGGGGGTGCGTCGGTTTTCGGACCTGGAGCCAGAGATAGTGTCTACACTGTGAGTGGCGAGGTGTTTGGGTCCGGAGCGAGTCTTGAAACTCGAGGACCCAGTCGCGGACAGAGAGGCGCCGAGCTCCATGGCGGGCTCGGGTCAGTTGGAGGTGATTCTCGGCCAGGGTCCAGAGGGGGCGGTGTGGGTCGTGCGCCAATTTTCGGGAGTCCATAGAATGTACCACCCTCTGGCACTGGTTTCGGGCGCGGTTAATTAACCACGCTGGGTAACCCGGGTGCACCGGCGTTTGATGTCAACGCTGTGTTGCGCCGTGCCCGTGAGTGGTACCGGGCCGAGGACATTGACACGGGGAGGACCACGAGCACTCATGGAGACCTTGAAGGTGAGTATGCTGAGCAGTTCCACCCTGCTTCGGCGCTCGCCCTGCCATGGCCAGACTGCGGCCAAGGAGGAAACACTGGGGCGCAAGGGGTAGACGAGCCAGCCTGGGAGGAGGATCCGGTGCCAGAGGATGCTCGGGAGGAAGCAGATGGGGCGGATGATGATGATGTTGAACCCGGCATTCACGTGCGCACCGGGTTCTATCGTAACAGGCGCGGATCTTCCTATCACATTGGGGGGATAATGCTGTTGCACTGGGCTCGCCTTTTGTTGATCTTCCATCAACAGCGCTGTCCGCAACATCCGCATGCTTCCGCCAACATGGCTCCTTGCATCACTGTGGGATTGGTTCCGCAACAAGTGGTACGAGAGGCAGGAGCACGCGCGGCACAGGGATGAGTACCTCACGCTGGCTGCCGCGATACGTCTGGACCAGAAGCGATTGAGGTGTCAGGGGTACTGGTTCATGGGGGGAAATAACTCGGTGGGGACCATACTGACCAGAGGTGGGGAAAACGAGACGCAGTGGCGCAGCTTCAACGTCAACCTCGACGCTCGCACATGCGATTGTGGGAACTGGCAGGAGTACCAGTTCCCATGTGCACACGCAGTGGCCATGTGCATTCTCAAGAAAAGGAGTGTGGAGATCCTTGTGTCCGAGTACTACACTACACGCAACCTCCGCCACACTTACTACCCACAAGTGAATGGCACTTACGTTGACAGGCTGGTCATAGAGGCTCCAAGGGCACCAGAGGGACGGTGTGACGCGCCTTCTCTGATCGAGACAAGGCTTGGAAGGTCAGAGAATCACACCCGATTCGAGGCAGCGCCACACGCCTATCGGTGCGGGCGATGCCGACAGCATGGGCACAACCGCAAAAGGTGCAAGTTCAAGTACGGTGGGTACGGCCAGGCACAGCCTGGCCAGCCAGCTGCTTGGGAGCAGGCTGAGGAGGACCCTGCTGCGGGTGATCAGGATGAGGAGGACCCTGCTGCGGTTGAGCAGGATGAGTAGGACCCTGCAGCTCTCGAATGAATGGCGTGTGCACCTAGCTGTACTTTGAGACTGTTTTGGGCTTCTTAAATTATAGGTAGACTCAAGTTATAGGGTTTTCTGGGCTGGGATAAGTGGGTTTGCTCTAGAAACAGGACGGCATGTGTTGGGTCCGCCTCCAATATCAACCCACATAAAACGGGGTGTGCGCTGGAAACAGGACTGCTAGGTTATTATATTCAATTATAAGCCCTATAACCCTACTCACGCGGGTCCGCGATGCAACTTTTGTTTGTACATGTAGCGAGATGCGCCAACAATTTGCATCATGATCGCTGCTCGAACGATCATGTTTCCAGCAGCAACCGAGCGCGGGCCCAGGTAGAAGCCCCCGAAACCGGTCATGAGAAATCATGTATCCAGCAGGACATCACGACCATACATGTTTCCATGATTGACTGAACATGACTCGAAAGGCAAAAAAAATGGCGCTACATGTTTCGGGCACGGCTAAGCATGAATCGGGAACGACTGCACATGTTCCGAAACTAGAACTCGTTACGCGAAATGTTTGGTTTTCCCAAAAGGCAAATGGCGACTGTATCTAGTAGCGTAAACAGCTTGGATATTAGTTTGGAGTACACATTTTGCAAATAGGACTGCTGAGTTTGCTACATTCAGTTTGGTTTTCTAAACAAACCTCAGTCGTGAAATGGTTTTGCCACTTTGCTCTTGCTATTTGAGTGAATAATCTGTACATTTTTCTGTTGAATTTGGACGACATATACGAATCTTTTTGCAAGTCTAGAACGCAATATTTAAACACACAGGAAGTCAAACATTGAACATTCTGTTGCCCTTTTCGAAAAAAAAAAAAAATGTATTTACAACATTTGAGGGGTCTACCATACCAACACGCATAGCTTACCCCATCTTGAACAATGTACTGATTCTGAATCAACAGACTTACAACTTGTTAGAGGAATACGCAGGAATGATGTTGTAAACTTTTGTGGAATGGGGTATATATTGGTAATCTCAAATAGTGCTTTAAAGATGTAATGATTAGGATGTATGTATACGTATATCATTTCTGAGGTCAATGTTGACGTACCACTTGGATGACTCCATTCAATTTAACGTAACTTAAACATTTCACGTCAAGGAGGGGAAGATTGCAATGGGGATTGTTGTTTATGGGTATTCTTTCCAAAACAAACTGCTATCCTTGGGTCCGTGGTCAGGATGAGGGTGATAACACACGAAAACAGTGTCCTCCACCCTAGGTGGTGTGGTCACGTAATTCTTAATGTTATATTGCAATGCAACAATGCACGTTGCAGTAGAGGGACACTGCGCTAAATTTCATAATGTTACGGTGGTCATCTCGTGTGGTTTTAATTCAAACACCCCTGGCTCATGAAGGGCTGTATCTATAACATGAATAACCCAATTGCACTGGATACTACACGCTTAGAGGATCGTGCACTATCCTGCATAAAATCGTTCGCCCACCGTGTCAGAATGTTATGCTGTGTAGGCTGTAGTGGGGTACTCAACAGTGAGTACAACCCTGTTAGGGTTTCCTATTTGTATCCCACCTGCCTGCTAGTGCAACCGCTCTTCTTCTGTTCTCATCATTCTCTTTCGTACTTCTGACATGCTATCAGAGCAGGTCGACCCTCCCTGGTCGATCCTGTGGATGGACCCACCCTACTGCTTCCGCTGCTGTTTCGTTAGTCGCGCGCCCCGGGCGCGCGACAATTTTCAGCCTGCCGCGCGCCCCGGGGCGCGCGGCGGTTTTCTGCTCGCCGCGCCGCCCCGTGGAGCCAAGCGCGGCCCCCGTGCACCCGTCGCGCCGCCCCGTGGGTCCCGCCCGCCGCCCCATGGGACCCGCGCGCCACCCCTGTGGACCCGCGCGCCGCCCCCGTGGGACCCGCGCGCCGCCCCCGTGGACCCGCGCGCCGCCTTGTGCCCCCGCACGCGCTGCCCTGTGGCTCCCGCGCGCCGCCCTTGTGCCCCCCGACACGCCGCCCTTGCCCTCGTGCACCGCGGGGCCGCTGTGGGTGCCTTATGGCTTCCTCCCCGCCCCCCAATTCTCCTTCCTCTCCCTCCTGCACGTGCGGCTGTGGGGGGAGGGCATTGGGGTGGCGGATATGGGGGTGACGGGAGTGCGTACGCAACTGCTCCTCCTCCTCCTTTCTCTCCCACTTCTGCAGCTGCCGCAGAGGGGGGGATGGTGTGGGAGCTGAGGGAGTGGTGCTAGGGATGCAGAGGGGGATGTGAAAAGGGGGTTTGGGGCAATGGGGGGAGGTTGAACGGAGGTAGCCGACATGAAGCCAGCAGCGCCAGCAGTCCGGATGCCCTATCTCCGGTAGCACGTGAGCCCGTCACTCCAGTCGCCCGTGGGTCAGTTGCTCCAGCCGCTTGTCTAGCCGCGGAGCCAGTTACTCCAGCAGTCCGGATGCCCTTGTTCCGGTAGCCAGTGTGCCAGTTGCTCCAGTTGCCCGAGTGCCAGTAGCTTCAGCCGTCGCCTCCTATCTCCTCTCCTCTCATAGTCCCTCCTCCTCCTCACTTGCCCTCTGTTTCTACCACTAGCGTTTGCTTATGCACTTGTCCTGCGATTGCTTGTTGTGTTGACTATACCCCACTTTGCCTATGGGGGTGTGTCAGAATGTTATGCTATGTAGGCTGTAGTGGGGTACTCAACAGTGAGTACAACCCTGTTAGGGTTTCCTATTTGTATCCCACCTGCCTGCTAGTGCAACCCCTCTTCTTCTGTTCTCATCATTCTCGTTCGTACTTCTGACACACCGCGTTGGTCACCACCACGCGTCATGACCTTGTAAGTGATTCTTTACACGGTTCATGATCGTTGGGCGTTCGCGCGTGATCGCTGGGTCTTTGCGTGCAACTGAGTTTCCTAGGGAACTCTTGATCACCGCGTTGGTTTGTACTTGGTTCATGATCGCTGGGCGTTCGCGCATGATCGGTCGGTCTTTGCGTGCAACTGTGTTTCCGATAGAACTCATGAACGCCGATGTGCTAGAGAACGTGTGTAATATGAACGTATGCGAAAGTCAAACTCTAAGTAATGCGATTCCAGAAAGACTCCACACAGGATGAAAAAGACATACACAGCACAGAAAGAAAGAAAGAGCACAGTGTTCAGGAAAAAAAAGTCCATGCAAACGCGATGCCAGGTTGATAGACTCCCGTGGTGCTCCAGCACAAAACCTTTAGCTGTGGGGCTCTGACACACAGAAGACGACAAGAACAAAAGTTTAGATTAGTAACCACGCAGGAAACCTGAGCATGGGACAACACCTACAACCACAGCAGGGGTAATGGAGGCTACAAAACCAATACCTGACTGCTCAGATGTGACGTTGTTGGGGACAGCCCCCCCGCCACCCTCAGGCAACGGCAGTCCAGCAGCCGTCAGCCTGCACAGGGGGATTTGACACTGTGGGAAGAGTAGATGGGGCTGGTGGGCCGGGAGTAGGCCCGACAGGCACTGGAGTGGCTTCAACGGGCATAGCAGTAGCCACATGAGGATGGGCTGGCTGTGCAGGTGCAAGGGCCACGACAGGAGGGCGGGTGCATGTGTCCGCCGAGGCAAGTGGGGTTGGCGCAGCACCGGCAGCGGGTTTGGCGATGCAGCCACAATTGCCGGCGGTGCGGGGACGGGGTTAGCACCACCGAGGGACGCAAGCTCAACGCGCCACCTTTCCCACCGTCCCCAAACGCGTGCGGTAGTTAGCTGCCGGACGATGTCATGTGTGCACCCATCCAGCAAATCCATCTCCTCTCCGGTGAGCTGCCACACACGACCCCTGGGTGGCTTACTCCGCCTTATCACTGCTGCAGCTGCGGCAAACGCGCGTGCGGCTTGTTGCTGAGAATCAGCGTCCGTGAAGACCCAGGCTCAGGGACAATCTTCGCTTGCCAAGTTCCGCCGGGGAGGAGCTTAACACCCGCATACTCCCCCGGCCCACCCACTCCCCCGACAGTGTGTGAAGGTGCAGGCATGTTGGGGCCCATACACCCAGATTGATCCTCCGAATGTGCAGGCAACACTCCCGCACGGGCACCGCGACGAGTCGGGGTGGCGGCATCGCCGGCCGGCCCCTGCAGCAGCCCGTTGATAACACCGTGGGCCGCATGTAGCTGGTGCGAATCCCCCTGCTGCTCGAGCTGCGCAGTTGGATTCAGGTCATTGTGGGGAGGCGAAGCGTCGACTCTCGCGCTGGGTCCGCCCACTGCATCTCTCGGTGGCCGCTGCTGCGCCGGTGCGGGTAAGGCGGCAAATTGTGCCTGCAGCGCGTCGAGATTGTCGCGGGTGGTCGTCAGCTCCTTGGTGAGAGCCTCAACCAGTAGCTCCAGTTTCAGAATGTCCTTCTCACAATGGCCCACGCGGCAGGTGGCGTTGTGGATATCGCCCACAGCATCACGCAGCTTCGAGTCGAGTTCGGCGAGCTCCGGCGACACCGGCTTATTCACACGCTTGCTCAGCGGCGGATCTTGGAGTGGCACCAGAATGCCAGCACTCTCCAAGGTTGGGACTAATCACTTGAGTGCATGCTCGACGATGTCTCCACGCATCCCCCTATGGTACAGGCCGGAGCCATAGGGCAAGGCGGGCAGCTCATCATCCAGATTCGCGAAGCCGCTCCCAACCAGCTCATTAGCGTAGATGCAGACGTAGACCCCACATTCGACAAGGTTGGGCTGCATCGGGCACTGGTAGTACTGCAAGCCACGAAACAAAGGAGATTAGTGATGTTGCTAGACGTTGCTTTGATGGAAACCCTTGAATGACAGTATGTACGGAAACCATTAGGAGCTTACCGCCATGGGGATGCAAGGCATGGGATCAAGCCACTGCTTGATTTCGCTGGCAGAAAGGCCCGGCTCCTCGGCTTGTAATGCCAGACCGAGAGGCCTGAACAAAACAACGATGAATTCATTAGTGAGTCCGACGACAGTAACCAACGTGCGTGAGTCAAGACGCATGTGTT